AAGATCATCAAGTCCAACCCTTAACCTGTCACTGTTGTAAACCCTAAATCATAGGATCATGGAATCATGAGGGTTGGAAGAGACCTCTGAGGTCTAAGGTTGTTTTGTCATGCTTTAGGGTGCCTAAACCATAGAATTATCAGGGTTGGAAGAGACCTCTAAGACCATCAAGTCCAACCCTTAACCTGGCACTGCTGTAAACCCTAAACCATAGAATTATCAGGGTTGGAAGAGACCTCTAAGACCATCAAGTCCAACCCTTAACCTGGCACTGCTGTAAACCCTAAACCATAGAATTATCAGGGTTGGAAGAGACCTCTAAGACCATCAAGTCCAACCCTTAACCTGGCACTGCTGTAAACCCTAAACCATAGAATTATCAGGGTTGGAAGAGACCTCTAAGACCATCAAGTCCAACCCTTAACCTGGCACTGCTGTAAACCCTAAACCATAGAATTATCAGGGTTGGAAGAGACCTCTAAGACCATCAAGTCCAACCCTTAACCTGGCACTGCTGTAACCCCTAAACCATAAAATCATCCGGGTTGGAAGAGACCTCTAAGACCTAGTCCAGCCCTTAACCTGGCACTGCTGTGACCCCTAAACCATAGAATCATCAGGGTTGGAAAAGACCTCTAAGACCAAGTCCAACCCTTAACCTGACACTGCTGTAACCCCTGAACCCTAAACCATATTTCTTGGATTTCTGAAAGGTTTTTTTAATATCTCTGAGCCTTGGCTGCACCACTTTCCCTGCGAAGCTTCTCTTACTGAGCCAGGATCAGCTGAGGCAGCAAGGCACTGAAATCAGAGGAGATCATTGCTGCCAGAAACTGTTTTCATAGTATCATAGACTATCCTGAGTTAGGAGGGAGCCACAAGGATCAAGTCCAACTCCTGACCCTGCACAGGATACCCCAAGATTCACATTATGTTTTAAAATATTAAGAGTTCTTCCCACACATTGTTACTAGCTCCTTCTTAAGTCAAAGTTTGGGTTAGTAGTAGAAAGGAAGAATCTGTTAAAGTTTCCAAAAACCTTCAGTGACAACAGTTCAGACTCCAGTTCAATGGTCCCACTCAGAGACTTGTATTTCCTTGGTGTTGCTACAGTAAAATAAAACCAGGGAAAAGCATGAATGTGTGCATGAAAGGAGAGGGTTGGACCTCAAATAACAGAGGTCAAATAAATAACATAGAGAAGTCTCAAACTTCTCATGTGTTTTTCCTCCATGCCAAATCAAAAGAATTCAAGACAAACAGCAGGTTTTTCCCCAGTGTTGATCCTGTTTCCCTGAGCCTCTGCCCACATCCAAGTGGATCATAATGTATCCTGCTCAGAGAAAGTGTGGTTTTCTTGCAGATGAAGCTCTCATGCTATGTATTGTTGTTGTTATTATTATTTCCAAAGCTTCAGCCCAAATTCCATCCAAGACATCTCTTGTTTGCTGTCCTGAGATTACACAGCAACCACCAACCTTCCTGCCCTGCCTGAGAGACAAGAGAGCTCCAAGGGCAAGTTCCTGTCCTGATCCTTTCCACCCTGACATCCCACAGGCAGGACCAGAGTTTTTTCTGGCTCGTTAGAAATTGGCTTTGCCCTCAGAATGGGATGTGGAGCTATATGGTTCCTTCCCTCTGAGCAAAGCAAGGACAAAGGAGCCTGTGGAAGGATGGTTGGACAATGAGATGGGTCTGTCCCCATCCAGATCTCTGAGCCATCTCTGAGCCTCCAGAACCTCTTCCCTGTTCTACTGGGAGACTGGTGATAGATGATGGGATGACTGAGGTCTCCTCTTCCTAGTTTAGTAGGTTTCCCCTCCTCTCAGCGCAGTAGACTCAACATATTCACATCCCATAGGTGCAGTGACAAACTCCAGCTCGAAATCCTCAAGTGACTCTTCTCCCTTCCTTCCCTTCCTCGCAGTGCCCAGTGCACCACCTCGTAAAGTGGAGGTGGAGGTCCTGAACTCAACTGCAATCCAAGTGTTCTGGCGCTCCAGTGCAGACCCGCCAGCACGGCCAGATCCGTGGCTACCAGGTGCACTACGTGAGGATGGAGAATGGAGAGGCCAGGGGGCTGCCCCAGATCAAGGACATCATGCTGGCAGATGCCCAGGTAAGGACTCACCTGCCCCAATCTCCTTTTCAGCAAACTTGAGGGGGGGTGGGTGCTCTGGCCACCTTGTCTCACTGGAGAAGGTAGAGAAGTAGTTGTGACAAGGTGTGTGTTGTCTTTCTGCAGTTTATTTGAGCTCCCAGACAGGAGTTACTGTGGAAGAGTTATGAACTGCTGTCCCAGCACTGAACTAAATATCCATCCATCCCTGTGTTTGGGAAGTTTTTTTAATTTAGGCAAAGGCCACAGTGGAATCTACTAATTTTTCCCACTCTACTTCTTCCTTCATGCTGGCCTGGTAACTTCTGACCTTGTGTGGCTGCTTGCTCAGGGACTCCTTCCTCATGCTGTGTCTCTGTCTTTCCCTTCTTTCCCCTCTTGTATTCTCATGTGCCAAACCTCTCTTGTTCTCTGCCCAGTGGGAAACAGATGACACTGCTGAATACGTAAGTAAAAAAAGTCAAAATCCTCCCATCCTGGTTCTGGCCCTTCCCTTCTCCCCCTTCCTGTTGTGGTGTGATATTTTCCTTTTCCTTTATATTTTTTTTTATTTTTGCAGTGCCAGTGTGCCTGTTTTAGAGCCTGTTATTGGTGTTCCCATGCACTGTCCCCAACCCTGTCACTTTGCTCTGTGACCCTGTGTGATCGTGTCGTTCGTCAGCACGCAGCAATCCCACAGGGTTTTCCCTTGGGCTCTGAAGGAAAAATGAGTCTGATGCTTCTCCATGGGGTTGTTGAATTTGGGACTACCTTGAACATACAGGATCATGGAATGATTTGGGTTGGAAGGACCTTAAAGCTCATCTCAGTCCAACCCTTTGCCATGGGCAGGGACACCTTCCACTAGCCCAGATTGCTCATGTGGGCTGGGCTGCAACACCTCCTGCTCATGTGTGGAAAACAGTTAGGCTGGGAAGCATTTGGGATTCAGAGTCCATAAATCCTGAGCAATCAGGCCATGAACAAATGCTTTGTGCCCTGAAAAGGCCAAGATTCTTAGAAACTGATTGATACAAAGGACTGAATCACTGTTGGTGCTTTTACGTTTGAAGTGCCTCAAAATCAGCTTGGCTGTTTGGCATTTGCTCTTTCTGCTAAAATGATAAATGTTTTCCATAATCTTACAGCTACAAAGCAGGAGGAGAAAGCATTTCCTCCTTGGAATGGCAGGTCCTACAATAACACACCACTAAACCGATTGCATTTGTGTCTCCTGGAGATTGCCAAGTGCCCTACAGAAGTGAGAGGCCTCTCTTTGAGGGATGGAGAAACTGAGTCTCATGAAAGGCAAAGCCTCTTGCTTAAAACCTTAATAAAACTTAGTGGCAGCTGTGAAAGCAGAACAGGTTTCTTGCCTTCCAGAAAACAACCTTGTCCCTGCAGCTCACTGTTTCTAAACTTGAGCAAAATCCCTCTGTTCTCCACTTCTGTTGCTCCACTCCCTGCTCAGCTTTGGGGAAATAGTTATTTTCAGGACTAACAAATTCTTCCCAAGTGCTACCCTGAGATTTAATATCAAAAGCACAAAGGGGCAATAGGGAGGTGAGGGAAGAGAAAAGCCATAAAACATGTACAACATTCCCATCTCCCTCCTTTCCGGAGCCTTGGGGAAAATCCTGCTGCATGTGCTGTCATCCTGTTTGATTTAGCACGGGTGTTCTTTTTCCAACACAGCCCTTTGAAGGGCTGAATCCCTCCTGGGGAAAGGCTGTTCTTGAGGCCAATATTCCAAACAAAACTCCTGGGAGCCAGGTGTGGGGAGGCTGATAGAGGCTGGGGAAGGAGGGGGTGGGATTTAGCAGGGAGCTTTAGCGTGCGAGCAGAAAACGTCTTGCACTTTGCATTCAAGCAATCCTTTTAATATGATGAAGGCATTAAAAATATCTCTGAGGAGAGAAGAGAGGGAGTAATGGGGAAAAAAAGCTGTAATCTCCCTGAAAGAGCTGAGCCCTGCGTTGAGGTGGAGAGGAATGCTTTGAAGGGAGCAGCAGCGTTGGGATGCTGAAGGGGTTTGTGTGCAGAGAGGGAACGTGTGAGAGGTAGATCTAGAGGAGAATGCCTTGAACAGGGCCCTGCAGAGCCAGGCTGTGTTTGCAGAGATGTCTGTGCCTCCCTGAGCAATGTGGCTCATCCTCCTGCCAGTTCCCACAGCCACCAGTCGCCCCAGAGTGTCTCGTGCTTTTGGATTCGGTGTTCCTGCATGCTAGAAAAGGGCTGAGAGTCCTGCAAGGAGGAGAGATCTGCCCCTGTGTGTGGAGCTGATTGCTGACATGATTTTCCTTTGGAATCTTGCAAACAGGAAATGATCATTGCTGGGCTCCAGCCGGAGACTGCGTATTCCATCACCGTAGCCGCTTACACCATGAAGGGAGATGGTGCTCGCAGCAAACCCAAAGTGGTCACCACAAAGGGTGCAGGTAAGAGATTTTCCTGATCCCTGATTGGAATTCACTCATTTCCTAAAGCCAAGAAGCTCTTCTTCCAGACTCAGCTTCCTTCATCCCACTCCTTTTTTGAAGGACAGATTTGCAGCCTTTAGCAACAAGGGTTATGTCATCTGTCATAGAATCATCAAGGCTGGAGGAGACCTCTAAGATCAAGTCCAGCCATTAACCTGTCACTGCTGGAACTCCTAAACCCTAACCCATATCCTCCAGTGCCAGAACCAGATGCCTCCTAAACACCTCCAGGGGTGCTGACTCCACCACCTCTCTGAGCAAACCTATTCCAAAATCCTTTTACATTTACTAGGATTCAGGAAGACAGGTTTTGAAGTTTAACACTTGAAAATGTGGGTAGTTCAAAGAAGTTTTGCAATGCAGACACAACATTCCTTGTGAATGTATAAATCCAGTGTGTTACAAGTGCCATGCAACAAGTGCCATGCTGCCCCAAACACAAGATCAGTTCTAGTAAGGCAGAAACCTCTTCATTTCTCACAGTTAGTCCTCACCTAATGGCACAACTTCCTTCCCAGTGCTGCAGAAAGCCCCCAGAAGTACAACAGAGGGTGAACCCATCACTTGTAATCTCTTGTGCCATGGATTCCAGTGCAGCAGACGGAAAGAGCCTCTCTGCCTGGCCTGACACTGGAGAAACTGTGTAGCTTTGGTTGTAACCCACACAGGGGCACTGAGGACAGGAGAGGCAGAGCTCTGCTTTCATGCTGGTGACTTGCAAAGATATGAAGAGCAGCAGTGGTGGCTTGTCCTGCCCACTCTTCTCTTGTGGCATCATGTCTGAATATACATCCCCTTTGTTCAGGACTTTGTTTGGTACTGACAGTATTGACCTTTCCTGGCTCACATTTCGGGGACCTGAGCTCTGCCTGCACATACCACCCAGTTCCATCCCTCCTCTGACCTTCCTGGCACAGTCCCTGCCAGCCTTGGTACAGAGGCCTAAGCAGAGGAATGACAAAGGGCAGCAGCAGGTCCCCTGCTCCCCCAAACAGTTGTGCTGCAGGCAGAAAGGAGAGGCACACATCACCTGTGCTCTCAGCATCTGGGGGTTCTCCAGTATGGAAGGGCTTTGTGCAGTGGGGGAAGATCTGGAGCTGTCCCTCATCCAGCCTATCTCTTGTTGGGCTGTGGTTACCTTCTCTCATCCCATTTTGCTCATGCTCTTTCTCTTGTTCCTGCTCTCAGGTGATGGCTTTCTCCTCTTTTCATGTCTTTAACTTCCCAAACCTGGTGATCTGTTTATTCACTTCTTAGTTTTGGGGCAGTTGTCTTCACCTGGCCCATAGCAGCTGCATAAACTGACATCATCCCTTATTTTTGGGAGAACACAGCTCTCTGCCTCTGCAGGGATTGAAGGCCTCTGCCAGCACTGCAGAATTCATCTGGAAACATCTGTCCAGGCTCTAGAAGCAGCTCAGACACAGCCCAGGGTGCAGGACAGAGAGGGCTCAGGAGCCCTGGCCTGAGACACACAGGGCTGGAGCCACAGCTGCCCTGCCCTCACCTTTTCATAGAATCATGGAATATCTTGAGTGGGAAGGATCCACAAGGAGCAAATCCACCTCCTGTCCCTGCACAGACACCTCAACAATGCATCCTGTGCCTGAGAGATTCGGGCAAACACTTCTGGAGCTCTGTCAGCCTTGGGGCTGTGACCACTGCCCTGAGTGAGATTTCAGCCTCTCTTGCCTCTCCTGCCCAGTTCAGAGACTGGTTCACAGGAGAAGGAGGTTGCTTTCCAGGACAGCAGCTCCTGCAGCTGCTAACATTTGGAAGCATTTGGGTGTCAGCTCCCAGACTCCTGTCCTCACACCTTGCAGTGTCCCTGCACTGTCAGGAGTCTTTTCCTTCACCCTCCCTGTTCTCCTTCCCCTCCAGCTGTGCCCATGTTTCACCTCACTGACTCCCTGCTTCTTTCTTCTCCTTCTTCCTGAGGCTCTCTACCCATTTCATTTTCCTCTTCTGGAGCCTTTCTACATCCCTCCCTTGTCACTCTCTCTTGTCACCTTCCCTCATCTCTCCCCATTAGGATTTGCAGTGCAGGTGATCAGTCACAGAGGGATGTTTTCTCCAGCACAGCAGCTATTACCCAAAACTCAATTTCCCCCAACTTGAAATAGCTGTTTAAAAAAAAAAGGAAAAGTCTTTCAAATGGCTCTGTAACATTCTTACCTTCTTTGCAGTCTTGAGTCAATACACCTTCTGAGAGGAGAGATTTCTTTCTTTATCATTCAGGGCTAGGGGCTGAATTTAAATACTGTAATACATCCAATTTTCTCTTTTCCTGTCCAAACCAATTGCAAAATAAAACACTTCCCCCCCCCCAAACCCTGTACTTTCTTCTCACCTTTCTCCCAAACAATATTTGTTGTGCAGATGTAAAGCTTTCAAGCTCAGCTGATTATAGTAACATTTGTGATAAAACCTGAGATGTAAAGGTAATGACATTGTTTTTCTTTTGAATGTGCTCCTTAGGCATTCCCAAGGGAGGAGGTTGGCTCTCCCAGCACTGTCCCTAGCCATTTGTTGGCAGTTTGGAAGGAATGAAGCATTTGTTTCAGAGACAAATCCCTGATCCCTGTGTTCAGGTGGCAGAAATCAGGGTGTGTTCCCACTGTGACCCTGCCAGGATCCGTACCACAGGCAGCATCCTTCCCTGCTCCCTCCATCAGCCACATTCCCAAATCCAGCCCCTCTCCTCGCTCAGACTCATGCTGCAAGAGCAGGATGGGATCTCTCCCAACTCCATTCTCTCTCCTCCTATCCAACCAGGAGAAACACCAAGGCAGAGAGAGGAGGAAATTAGATGTCTAATAGCAGAGCTGAGTGTCAATGACGCGTGAGCTGCTGGAATTAATGCTCTGCTTTCTCCAGCTTCGGGAACCTCTGGGCCTGCATGTGTCATTTAACTGTGGCTGTGGCCTTGCTTAGCAGTCAGGCAGTGCCAGGGCTCATTAGGCAGAGACATGGCACTGCTGAGCTCCCCCTAAACCCCCAAATGCAGAGGAGCTCACTGAAAACACACCGACACTTGACAGGTTTCTTCCTTCCTCCAGAGGAGAGGAAGTGCACAGAGTGAGCAGCAGCTCTCCCTGCCCTCTCTGCCTTGCACAGATTTTGGGCTCTGCTTCCACTCTCTGTGCTTCTTTCTGGACCCAACTGGGTGATCAGCTGCCTGCCAGCCTCGCTGAGCTGGCCCTGTGCCTGCAGCTCAGGACCTGGAGCTGCCCAGACTTCCTTCTCCATCCTTCATTACTTCACCCTCAGCTGCTCTGGACTTCCCAGCCTGAGCCAATCTGTTCCAGTCTCTTTCTGCATGAGCTGGGCTGTGTAATGGGAGAGAGAGAGAACAGGAGTTTGAGGACTCCAGATTTGTTCTTCCCTGCCCTGGGAAGCAATTTGAACAGGAGGCAAAGAGTCTGAATTCCTGAGTTTGTTCTTCCCAACGGTGGGAGGGTGTGTGGTCCAGGGATACAGGAGGAGCTGTGCACATCTCTCCATCCTGAGCCAGAGTGGGAAATAAATCCAGAAATGTGTCAGTACCTCACAGCTGACACATTGACTGTGCTCCTCATTTCCCAAACTGGACAGGGACCTGTACAGGGTGGTGACTGTAGCTGAGTGACAAGAGGATACACTGAGGTACACAGAGCTGAGCTGGAACATTTCTGCAGCTGAAGACTCTGTGCATCTCCTCTGTCCCACCTCTGGCTCAAGGTGTCTCTCTTCTCTCTCCTAGTCCCAGGAAAGCCCATCCTGTCTGTGCACCAGACAGAGGAGAACACTCTCCTGGTGAAGTGGGAGCCTCCATTGGATGCTGAAGGTCAGGTGTTGGGCTACCGACTCCAGTTTGGCCGCAAGGATGTCGACCCTTTGGCTACCTTGGAGTTCTCAGCCCTGGAGGATAAGTACATCGCTCCCAGCATCCACAAAGGCGCCACGTACGTCTTCAAGCTGGCGGTGAAAAGCCGAGCTGGCTTCGGGGAGGAAGCTGTGCAGGAACTCACCACCCCTGAAGACATCCCTAAGGGTTATCCCCAAATCCTCGAGGCGAGCAACATCACTTCCATGTCGGTCCAGTTTGGCTGGCTCCCCCCCGTGCTGGCTGAGAGGAACGGAGCCATCGTCAAATACACCGTGGCTTACCGGGAAGCAGGTTCTCCTGGCAACCTGCTGGAAAAAGACCTCCCCCCCTCCCCAGAGAACTCCTACACCCTCAACGGCCTCAAACCCAACACCGCCTATGATGTTAAAATCCGTGCTCACACCAGTAAAGGCCCCGGGCCCTACAGCCCGACCGTCCAGTATCGGACGTTCCAGCTGGATCAAGGTAGGACTTACCGGTTTCTCCTCCCTCTCTCCCCTTGTATCCGGGGCTGGTGCTGGAGAGGTCAGGCCAGGCTCAGCCAGGCTCGTGAGTAAATGCAAAGCACTGTGGTGTCACACTCAGTCCCTCCTCTCCTCTCTGCCTTGTGCCAGGTAAGTCCCTTTTACCACTTTCTTCTAAGTTAAGTCCGGACACCTTCTGTCACTGGCACCTGAAGGGGGGGGCCAGTCGCTATACAGGTGGGAAGAGCATTTTCTTCAGCTTTTGTAAACAGCCAAAAGAAAAGAGGAAAAAAAAAATAATCAATCAAACCTTAAAAACTGTGACCTGGGATGGGTTTCCTCACCTGAGCATGCTCAAGACAACCAGCACCTCGTTCCTGCAGCAGCCACCCAGGCCCAAAAGTGTGAGGCAAAGCCACATGCCCTCCCTCACCCCTCCCTGGGGTTAGGCATGGGGACAGGGAGCACTGGGAGATGGAACTTGGTGAAACTCAAGCACAGTGTGGAGGAGGGAGCAATCCCTTCCATTCCTGCAGCTGCAGCCAGACCCAGCCTGGCAGGTCCCTCTGGCAGAGCCTGACATTCTCTTCCTTCTCTTTCCTGCTCTTCCTTCCCTCTGCTGCCTTTTCTTCTCCTTTCTCCCCTTCCTCCTCACTTTTTTCTCCGCAGTTTTGCCCAAAAACTTCAAGGTGAAGATGGTGACAAAGACATCTGTCCTTTTGAGCTGGGAGTTCCCTGAGAACTACAACTCTCCCACCCCATACAAGGCAAGTGGAATGCAGGAGTCAGATCTGTGTTTCTTGGAAGTCTTCTCTGTTAGGTTGAGGAAGGATAATAGTTAATCACTAGATCAAGAATCTGAGCTGGAAATCAGGGCTGTTGGGTTGCATTCCCATCTCTGGTACCAAAGTGTTGCTTCCCTAGGCAAGTTGCCATTCTTTCAGGAAGAATTTCTTCATGGAAAGGGTTGTTAAACATTGGAACATGCTGCCCAAGGAGGTGGTGGAGTCACCAGCCATAAAGGTGTTCAAGGAATGACTGGACGTGGCACTTAGTGCGCTGGTCTAGTTGACAAGGTGGTGATGGGTCAAAGGTTGGAGCTGAAGATCTTGAAGGTCTTTTCCAACCTACTTCTGTGTTTCTGTGATAATTTCTCCCTCTGTGGATAAAAATTTCTCTTCCCAGAGGAGTCTCAAGGCTTTGACCTTACAACTGCCTTGTGCAGTGGCCACAAAAAATGGAGAGTTCCCCACTCAAACACTTCTGTTCCTGTGTTTGCACCAGCTCTGGCAGAGCTGAGTGCCCTGTGCTCCCTGCAGACTGAAGGAAGGGAGAGGAAGGAGTTTGGCTGTTGGAGCAGTATCAGCCTTGCTCATGGCTCAACCTCTTCCCCCCACATAGATCCAGTACAACGGGCTGCACGTCGACGTGGACGGTCGCACCACCAAGAAGCTCATCACCCACCTGAGGCCCCGAACCTTCTACAACTTTGTGCTGATGAACCAGGGCAACAGCATGGGGGGGTTGCAGCAAAATGTTGCTGCCTGGACTGCTGCTGACATGTTATCCAAGAAGCCAGAGGTGACCCACAAACCTGATGCTGATGGCAACGTGGTGGTGATTCTTCCCGACGTGAAGAGCTCCGTGCCTGTCCAGTAGGTTTCTGTTAAGCTGCAGGTGTAGAGTGCTCAGTTCATGTTTTGGGTAGTCTCCATCTTCCTGATGGCTGGAGACCACAGTACAAACCAGCAAGGGTAGTACCAGGGTGTGTTCCCTGCATTTTCAACTTGCCATTTTCCAGAGCTAACAGGGAAAGCCAAAGAAATGCAAAGGGAATACAGAAGGAGACATGTCATGGGGCTGCACTGAAACCAGGCTCATTCCAGGAATAACAACTGTGCTGAATTAAAAATAAAGGGCTTGAGCCAGTGGGGCAGTTTGGACAAACCTACATCAGTGTGTACACTCTGTTCCTCTGTGGCTTACAGAGGGAGGTTCATTCCTTCTGTTTCTTCTGATTATTCCCAACTCTTAGGGCTTTCTACATTGTGGTGGTGCCTCTACGCAAGTCCCGAGGAGGACAATTCCTCAACCCCTTGAGCAGCCCTGAGGAGATGGACCTGGAGGAGGTGAGTGTGGGTCAAACTGGAACCAGCTGTAGGGAGAGAACAAACAGCTGGCAAAGGTGGGATGGTGACCTGAGAGGTGGGAAGGAGGTTTTAGAGGACCTGTTCTCCAGGTTCTGAGCAGCCAAGGTGTGACCAATCTGAGCACAGGATGGTTTGGCTCTTTTTCCTTGCTGGTGCTGCAGGTGTGAGGGTTCAGTGTTCTTTTGTTCCTTGCAGCTGGTGCAGGACATCGCCAGGCTCCGGCGTCGCAGCCTGCGCCACTCGAGGCAGTTGGACTTCCCCAAGCCTTACATCGCCGCGCGCTTCCGCTCCCTCCCCTCCCACTTCATCCTGGGGGACATGAAACACTATGACAACTTTGAGAACAGAGCCCTGGAGCCAGGGCAGAAGTATGTAATCTTCATCCTGGCTGTGCTGCAGGAGCCCGAGGCTGTAAGTGCTGCCTGCTCTCCCCTGCTCTCTTCATCCCAGTGTGCTCACCCTGCTGCCCTCCTGGTATTCTCCACAACTTTCTCCCAGCAGTTCCTTGAGGTTTTGTTTGTAAAGATCTTCCACTCCAGCTCTGGAGCTTTTGGATGTAGCTCTTGGAGCTGTTGGTGCATGCAGCAAACATGCTGTGATTTTCCCAGTCTTTATGGGCAGGACTTGGACACTTGTAGCTCCAGATTTGAGTGCAGAATGAGGAGGAGCATTGAACTAGCCCTTCAGGACTGTACTAGAGTTCAGAGATCCCTAGGTCAGACCCCTTTTTTTTGAGTCATTTCCATGAAAGGCTGTCCTTTAATTCCTCAGAGCAATGACCCCAGATCTCCTGCTCCAAGAGCATATCCTGGTCATGGCTAAATTCCCCACCAAGCACAGAGGGGAGCATTTCTCAGTGGACAACTACACGTGCTCTCCATCACTTCACCATCTCTGCTGCTTTCACTGTGTTTGGCTCTCTGAAAACAACTGGTTTAATATTTACCTGCCTCCTCCTTCATGCAGCCTAATACTTTGTTGTTTTTAAATCCCCCTATGGAATTGTAGCAGGGAGCTCTTGGAAATTAAGGGTTTTCAGAGGGTTGTTTTTTTTTTCCCCCAATAAATATTTAGTTGTGTATTTGATATTAAAGGATTAGGCTGACACGCTTCTGAATGGGTTTCTCAATCGGATTACTGCAGCTTGTGGTAATTTCTGCTTTAGAACAAGGTGCTGCAGACTTGCTTGCAGCTGCCTGGATCCACAGCAGCTCCTGAGTGTGGAGCAGTATTCTAGTCTGCTGAGAGCTGATGGAGTTCAAGGAGCCAGAGCTCTTGTTTTTGTCCTGTCCTTGGCTTCTCTCTCAAACCAGCCATGCCAGTTCTCCTCTGTGCACTTCAGTCTCTGGAGTTTCTGTGTCAGGGAACAAGGTGCTGCAGACTTGCTTGCAGCTGCCTGGATCCACAGCAGCTCCTGAGTGTGGAGCAGTATTCTAGTCTGCTGAGAGCTGATGGAGTTCAAGGAGCCAGAGCTCTTGTTTTTGTCCTGTCCTTGGCTTCTCTCTCAAACCAGCCATGCCAGTTCTCCTCTGTGCACTTCAGTCTCTGGAGTTTCTGTGTCAGGTGGGAATTCATCCTCCCTGGAATGGGGAGATTGGAGTGCTCAGATGGGAATTCATCCTCCCTGGAATGGGGAGATTGGAGTGCTCATGAGAACAGGCAATGCCCATTAGCCAGGACTTGGGTGGGTTTGAATGTTCTTCTGATTCTCCTCAAGAGCTCAACTTGCTGCAGAGGGAGCAGAGGGGACATGTTGCATTTTATGAATTCATACTTTGGTGTCGTTCAGTCACCAAACCAAACTGCCTCTAAGCATTAATTCTTGGTTTAAGCCCTTCCCTCTCTTTCTGTAATCCCATCTGACTGTCAAAATCCAGATGGTTACATGAGAGTTTGGGGAAAGGGTTTGTGTGTTTATGGCAAGGGATGTGGTGAACCAGGGGCACAGTCAACTGGTTCTCTAAAAGCACTTTCCTGGCTACAAGATGAGCTAAACCACAGGCCCAATGCAGGATATACCTTCTTGTGTGTGAGATCTGTCTGTGGTCTGTCTCTCCTGGAGCATTGGGAGAGGAAGATAAGCTGCAGTGACAGGACAAGGGGCAATGGGGACAAATTCAAGGAGGGGAAATTTAGGCTAGATTTTAGAAAAGTTTTTTTCCTGTGAGGGTGATGAGACACTGTCCCAGGTTGCCCAGGGAGGCTGTGGCTGCCCCAACCCTAGCAATGTTCATTCCAGGTTGGATAAGCCTTGAACAACCTGCTCTGGTGGGAGGTGTCCCTGCCCAGGGCAGAGAGTTGGGACTGGATGATCTCAAAGCTCCATTCCAACCCCTAAAAATTCCATGATTCTATGATATCTGGATGCTGACAAACAAGGGGATTTACACTAGGTTGAATAAGGCATTTTCTCTATTCCTACTTGCTTTGTGCTGCAGAGAGCTCACATCCTCTCGAGCAATTTCTCCCATGGAATACCACGTGCTTGCCCTTCGTTTTCAGTCCTCATTCCACCTCTGAGCTCTGTTCCACCATCTTTCTTATCTTCCAGACCTTTGCTGCCAGCCCCTTCTCTGACCCCATCCAGCTGGACAACCCTGATCCGCAGCCGATCATCGATGGAGAGGAAGGGCTGATCTGGGTCATTGGGCCTGTCCTGGCCGTGGTGTTCATCATCTGCATCGTCATTGCCATACTCCTCTACAAAAAGTAAGAGCTGCTCTGTGCCCATGCTGAGTGTGCCCAGTTGTACCTCCTAAAGGGAATTTTCTCCTTGGTCTTGTTGTCAGCTGAGGGCAAATCCTTGGGTCTGCCTGGCTCAGGAGAGATTTGCTGCTTCAGACTCTACCCCGTGGCACTGTGCTTTATTTGCTGCTTCAGACTCTACCCCGTGGTACTCTGTGCTTGGCTCACACTCCATGTGCAAGGAGTGTGTCAGGAATTCTTGCCTGTCTCCCCCAGAATTGCTGCTCACAGCCTCAGGCTCCCCTTCCTGTGCTCTGTGTGTGTGTGGGCACAGTGTGGAGGATGCAGGGAAGGCACATTTTGTGCTGTGGGTCAGCAGAGAACCCCACTAATCTCGAACTAGTCTTTGCTGGAGCTGGAAGACAAGAGCAAGGTGTAAGTCTGCAGGATAGAAGAGGGAACAGCCTCTGGAAGCATCTCCCTTGGCTTTCTGAGCAGCTCATGGTGTTTGGATGAGAATGTTGGTCCCTGGAACACACACACAGGTCACACTGTGCAATGAAAGGGGCCAGGAGGAGAAGCAGGAACTGAGCAAAATAGCTAAGAAAAGGAGCAGGATGGCAGCAATGGGCAATGCAGGAGTGACTTTAGCTTAGGTCCTTTAACTCTGCTCCACCTTTGAGCTGCACAGATGTGTTCACTTGAGCACATGAGTGTGTCTTCTGCATCCAGCACATGTGAGGCTGCTCTGGGCTCAGGGACTCGGCTGCTCCTCGTTAGTGTCCATCAGCACTGATCTAATTGGGTGTCCATTGCTGGCCCCACCTTCTACCTATGCTGCCAGGGTTAGAGCTGAGCAAACACTTCCCCTTTCCTCTGCAAGTCCTTTCTAACCTGAACATTTGTCTTGTCTTCTCTCCACTTACTGCTTTCCTGGACAGCAAACCAGACAGGTAAGAGCACCAGATTTGCCATTTCTTTAGGTTCTTTCTTGCTGTGTGTTAAGCAGTGTTTGCTGCCTGTGGTGATGGGGCTTTGTTGGTGCAGTTCCTACCATTAGATCTGTGTCAGACTAGCATGGGGCAGAAAAAGGAAAGCAAGCCCAGCCTTCTCCTGCTTGGCCATTGCTGAATGTAATGGCCCTTTCTCAGGCTGAGCAGCAGTGACAGTAAATGGCTCATAAAGTGTTGGGTTAATGGAGCAGAGAAACACTCGTTTGTGTGGCAGTCAGAGGTGAGAGTGGGTTATCTCCATGTGTGGCTGCTCCATACAGGCTGTCCCTAAGCCACTGGCATGCTGGAAGGAGAATCTCACCAGCTGAGCTGTCCTCACCCCATTGCAGAAGCTCTTCTTGCCCCCTCAGCTTCTAACAGAGTTTGTTTATGACTGCAGAAATGAGACTTATTTCCAGCCATTTCTAAGACTTGGGAGAGCTTTCACTGGAAGTAACTGATGGGTTCAGTCCATGAACTGTTAACAGCAGTTTGAGAACTGCAGCAAAAATAAACTGCTCCCCAACTGCAAAGTGGTGTCATTCCAAAATGCTGCCCCATGCAGTGCTGGCAGGGCTCACACCACTTCTTCTGGCTATTAATGACATCAAGAGACAGCTAAAAATGTCCTGAATAACCTCCT